GAGCAGGGAGCCCGATGCGGGGCTCGATCCCAGGACCCTGAGATCATGACCTGAGCCGAAGGCAGACGCCCAATGGCTGAGCCACCCAGGCGCCCCTAAGTTTCGAGCTTTTTAACAGATTTCTCAGTTCAGTTTGTATATGGGTTTTTTTCCCCCTCATTTTTGTCTACCTGGCTGCAACATTGTTAGCATACCCTCTTAGCAGTAAATAACACTTAGGTCAGTTTTATTAATTTTCTTCAAAAGATCCATTGCCAAATTGAATATTTGAGTGTTTCAGGATTAACTGTAGGACTATTTTACCTCCAGAAAAGAAATGTTTTTTTTATATTGCTTTCTAAAATTTTAAACATGAGAGTTATTATTTTCCCCTTAGGTAAAAAGGATTGAGTTATTTACATTCCTCAGCTCTTGGCATTTAATCACTTGTCTGTGCAAAGCCTTTCTCTTATTCCATATTTTGCTTCCATTCCCTTCTCTTCAACAGGCAACCATTTTCTTTTGTCTAAAAATTTAAATACAAACATTTACAATAAATGATGGTTTATTAATACCTAGTCTTAAAAGTGAAATGATCTTACAGCCTCATTTTAACTTTTTAAAATCTTGATTTTTTAATATAATGGGCAACGTAGACTCATTTCTGGCTTTGCATACAGGAGAGGAAAATTTGGAGAAAATAACTTCCATTTTTATCTGTTTCTTGTTTATAGTTTCTGTGGCCCACGGGAGCATTTAGAGTAGAATAAATATGTTGAGGAACTTCCAGGCATTGTCTTCAAATTATGCAGATTTTCTTTATCGAGATTTTTCAGAACTGAAATAACTGTTTTTACTGCTGGTATGGGATGCAGAATTCTCCTTAGTAGCTTCACATCTTAATCAGGCACCTGTGATTGTTTGACATGGAGGTGGTCAGGAACTGTTAGCATCCCTTAACTCTTGGACTGTCGCTCTCTCCTTGTTGGGTGGAAATGAATGAAGCATGTTCGGCATGAGAGACCCACCAGTGTTCATCCCTGCCCCGGTGGACCGCTATCGGCAGATTCTGCTCCCAGCTCTCCGCTTGTGCCAGGTCATCCTCACGTCCAGCACAGCCCAGCACTTACAGGCAGCGGGGCAGGTGAGAAGAGCCCTTGGTGTAGAAGGCGTCACGCAGAGTCTTCCTTTTATCATTGCACAAACCCGAGGCATCGACAGTGCCCGGGCCTTTACCTTAGTCACACTCTCTGTGGCAGCCCTGGGCGTCGAAGGCCAGCCCCTTGTGCTTTGCTGTGAACTTCATTGGCCCGCTCTTGACTCTTATTTGAATGAAACCCCACAGCGAAGAACAGAATAGTGAGATGGAAAGCAAGATCTCTAAGTTTATTCTTCTGTAAAAGGAAGCGGTTATTGTGATAGGAATAAACTGGCTTCTAAAATGTAATTTAACTAGGGATTTATTGAGAGGCCGTACAGTATTTTAGACCTTGCAGAAAATATGAAAGATAGATGGTAATGGCCCATTGGGTTGTGATATTTAGAGGATGAAGTAATTGAGATAAGTGCATTTTCTAACATAAAAATTTTTTTCATTGGGCACCAGAAATTAGTTTTATTTTCATCCCTTTTCAATGAAACCTTCAAAAAAAATCTTTGTTTCTTTAAATTAATAATACAGTGTATAATTTAGCCATTCACTGATTAGACTTATCAGTATGACTCTGCAGTTTTTGATTGTATTGCTCTATTATTACGACACCCTCAGGAACTGTGTCCTAATACCTTATAGTAATTTTAGGTGCTTTCCCTGCCATCAGCCTTCAGGCTTGTCACTGAGGTAGAATGCTGCTCTTTCTAACACGGCACCTTGTTTTATGCTGCATTAGTACATCCTGCCACTTCCATATGTGGCCTTTGAATCAGTTCTTTAAAACTCAAAAGACTTTCCTTGTCTTCTCCTTTATTGAGATTAAGATTTTTTTTTTTATTAGAAGTGGGACTTTGTGATGATGTAAGATTCTCTAATGCCACTCTTGTACTGGCTGTGGCAGAATCCCCCAAGGAGCTTGTTTCAAAAATATAGATTACTGAGGGGCGCCCAGGTGGCTCAGTCGGTTAAGCGTCCAACTCTTGATCTCAGCTCAGATCTTGATCTCAGTGTCGTGAGTTCGAGCCCCACGTTGGGGCCCAGCATGGAGTCTACTTAAAAAAAAGATAACAGAGTTCTACGTCCAGTAATTATGGGTTAAGGCCAGGAATCTGAATAAAAAATAAAAGGGGGCACAGTTCTTGAGTGATTCAGATGTTTGGCCTGTTTGGCGTAGTTTCAGCCTTCAAGGCATTTATGATCTAGTTGAGGAGACATCATATGTGTAAGTAATTGGATTCCTCCATGAAAGTACAGTAGAAAATGCCACGGTGGAAGGGCAGAGTTTGGAGGTCAGGATTTTTATCTCATTCGTATTATATCAAAAGGAGAATTTAACAAGAGCTTTAATGTGATTGTCCCCATGTCAGGCTAGTCACATTTTCATAGAGCAACTTAAATTCAGTGAATCTTTTTTTTTTTTTTTAATTTTTTTTTTTTAAAGATTTTATTTAT